AAAAAAAAAGCTAAACTAAACTAAAAACTAAAAACACCACTACAATCTTCTTTCATATTTTGCAGATTTTGTGTTATTTTTCTCAGGTGGCTTCACATTGTTTATCTGAATATGCACTGAATTCTTCATCAGCTCATCTCTCAATTGATTAATGATTTGACACTAATTTTGTAGCCATAAATACTCGACTGTAGCAATTAATATAGAGACAATGATAACTTTATTAATAAACATACATAAGTGGATAAATATAAAGTATATTTTCAAGGAAAAACTAAGAGAAAACGAGATACAGAGCAAAGAGGTTCGATTTAATAAACAATTGTTTATTTTTTTTAAAAAAAAAAAAAATCTCACCTTCTCTTATGCAAATCTTTGAAAATTAGACTAAAATAAACAATTTCTGCAAGTAATTAAAATATCCAAGTGGGGACATGGTCCCACCAAGCCGATCTACACATCAATTAATGTGCAGAAGAGATAGAAATCGAAACCACGATAAAGAATATACATAGCATGTTCCAAGAAGATAATTATAGAGCTTGCCTTAAAAGGGTCAAAAGTTATAGAAGCACACGCCCTAGCTGCCACTCCATCACAAGTAGAAGGGATGTATAAAGTACCACATACACCTACACTGTCAAGCTGAGAAGTCGAAAAATAAAAATGATAAAAAAAAATGGGAAGAAGATTAGAAGACATAAAAAACTCTGTAAAAAGCGACGGTCAAAACCTTCAGCCCCGGAGCAAGGGTCCAATTAATAGCAGTTCCAACAGCTTTGGACAGAAACTCTTTCCTGATTTCCACAGCCAGTGAGAAAAGGCTATACAATGGAGAATAAACACAAAAATAAAAACACAGGCACTTAGCAGAATATGAAAATATTAAATGAACTGTATCAAATCTGCCGCCCTTATCAATACCTGTTATTCTTATCAGCCGCTGTACTGCCCACTTCAGGGTGATGCTCTTCAAGCAGATGGTCCAAATCAAAGGTGGTAATATGAGATGTTAACTGCAATAATTCAACTTATGAGTTTATATATCAAAATGGTTTTTCCAGTTACGGAAGCAAAAGCAAATTCTTGCATCCAAATAAATTATGACATGAAAGAAAACAACTTGGTCTGCAATTATTAATAAGAGCTCGTCTTACAGGGGACCACGTATATCTATATTCTCTCATAACCCTAATTTACGTATTACCAAGAACAAGAAC